GTGTGTGTGTGTGTGTGTGTGTGTGTGTGTGTGTGTGTGTGTGTGTGTGTGTGTGTGTGTGTGTGTGTGTGTGTTTGTGTAAAAGTACATATGTACCATCATAAACAAAAACACATAAAGGCAAAATAAAAACTCACATCACTAACTCAACCAAGTTATCACGGATCTAAAGCCGAGACAATAACAATTTTTGAAAGATAACGAACCGCTGTGTGTAAGAAATAATATCCCTAATCGCGGTAGAGTGTCCCTAATCTTCATGAACGGTGTACAGGTTACAGGTAAGGCTGTATAGTTGCCCCTTTCAAATCGAGTTGGCTGCTCGAAAAGACTCGCTTGTCCAAATATGGTAGTTGTAAGGGTGACATCTAAACAGTTGCACAACAAATCTAGTTTTCTCGTACTTCGCTTAAGAAAAATATCCCAACAAAAAAAAAGTATTATCGTTCAGAGGCACATATAACATGACGTCACCAACGACCAATGAGCGAGCGCGCTGTGCGAGTGTAAAAGGGCGTCCAGCGCATGGTCTGTACCAGTTCACTTCACATCGCCTGGGTGTACGCACGCTTTTCATCCATTCTCATCCTCCCCCTTGAACAAACCACGCCAAAATGAACCGTGCTACCAAGTCCGGAATCGCTGCCGAGGCTCAGGCTAAGGTAAGGTGATATGGAGCGTTTGGTGTTAAAGGTGTGTTAAGGTGAGATGCGAGGCTCCGGGCGTCTGCTAAGAGAAGAGTAACTTAGAGGGTTATTGATTCAGAACTACACAAGCGATGCTGTAGTATTACTACTGGGTTCTGGGTATAATTTTCATGAGAGTTGGATCGATATCTCGACACGAGACCAAAACAAAGTGCATGACTTGGATAATGGACGTTGTTAAAAGAGATACTGCAATTGACAGTTTTCACCTTGTTGATTATATCACGTGGCGGAAATTATATATTAATTGTCTGTTTAGAAATGTAGTTTACAGTGGACTTCATATTTTGATGGTGATTTTTTCACATTAATGATTCATGATAATTCTGAAGGATGTCAGTGTTGCCTTAGCTTAAAAGAGCATTTTTCATGCTACTCTTAAGCGTTGGATTGCAGATTGCTAACAGTCTGAAGCAACAATTATATGAAAAATGAAGAACCAGCCTCACTGTAACTTCATGATAGTAATTCTAAATCAAAGCGCTCGAGGTGTAGTTGTTATATTATTTTCTCTAAAAATCTCAAAGTAATTCTTAAAATGGTCTTCAAGAGATTGTTTCATATTTGTTATTATTTACCGGTTTGAACGTTTTAAAAGCACCGGAATGATGTTCGATGATGAACCAGTACACTAAACATTTAAACAAACTGCCCTACATTCGAGCAGTCGAAAAGCAGCTGCAGACCACGACCCAGGTGTAAGTGCAGGTCACAGGTGTTATATTTGTGGTATTTGCGCGAGGCAGGTTTAAATCGAAAATAAGATCCGGTGCCTAAACTCATAGTGGAATGAATCTCATGTTTAATTGCGTTTGCAAATTGTATCACGTTTATTTGTTTAGGTGAGACTGAGATTTGTGGGTGTACATTTATTTTTAATATCGGCGTTGGCTAGGATATTTTTGTCGATTATGAACAAGAAGATAACGCTTGATAAGAATTGATAAAAACGTTATCTGTCACTAAAGTTGTGAAAGGGTAGAGGTTATTCAAACAGCTGGTACTAAGAACTTCAACTTTATTTATTTTTTTGAAGCGAGATTATTTTTATTATTACGGTCATCGTTATTAACCTTTGTATATCAGTACTGGCTTCTGTAAAGTTTTGAGGATCATAACATACATACTTCTGATAAGTGATCAGTTTGTCATTGATAGTAAAGATAATAATGGTTATAGTGACAGATAATGATAGGACTAATGATAATGATAGTAACGATACTTAAACTATGCCAGTGATGTAGGATAACAAAGTCACTTTATAAGATCGTTATTGAAATGACCCATTTCGCCAGTTTTCCAAAGCCTTAGATCGTAGGCTTAAGTCAGTCATCTCCCCCACCCCCTCAAGCTCTCCCAGAGGGGGCGTGGCAACCCCACCTTAAGGCGTGTGTGTTTATCCCCGTCACGTCCCTCGTAAGTACAGGACGATGAGTCACGCCGTAGGTCGAGTCGTGACTGGAGGACTCACGACCCTGTTATCACCATCAGGAGTATGGGGTGCGGGCGGGGTGGGGTGGGGGCGATGGGCTGGTTATGTGAGCCAGGGGGGGGAGGGGGGGGGAGAAGCTTTATGAGGATCCTGGACCGGTTTGTGTGTATGCATACGCGTACGCAGAAACACGAGTACGCAGTGGTATATATGTACCCATGCTTTATATATCATATGTTTGTATGCTTGTCTGTACTTATAATTCTGTATGCATATGTATTAATATGTATATAAGCATTCCTATATGCATATCTTGACATGTTTGTGCGTGTGAGTGAGTATGGGAAGGAAACTAAATCACGTGCCATGTAAATAGCCTTGGACGTATCTACTTATTCAAGCTCCGGCCTAGACTATTTCTGCTGTCAATGCTGATGTTAGGGAGATATAGGGAAAAGCTTTTCTTGAAGCCGTTGTACAGTGTCTGCAATATATGAGGTATCCGATTCTCCTTGTGCAGCATTTTTACAGCATTTATCTTTTCAGCGGTGATAAATGAAGCAAGATATCCTGAGGGTAGGGGGTGAGGCGGAGGGTGTGTGTGGAAATGAAAACGATGACGTTGGCTTATATTTATTTCATGATGTTTGCTATACATTTTCATTACCCAATGCTCTGCTGAAGTTAAAACAGATTTGGCTTTCGCACACGCACTCGTTTTCACTAACTCTCACACTCACACATGTATGTATGAACGTTTGTATGGCGTATGTATGTATTCATCACACACACACACACACACACACACACACACACACACACACACACACACACACACACACACACACACACACACACACACACACACACACACACACACAGGCACACACAGGCACACACAGGCACACACAGGCACACACAGGCACAAGAGTATATATTTTTTTTATATTATATATTGCATTATATTATATACATACAGTATATTTGGTATACATTCACAATATATACTGTATATCCCTTCGAAATACACATACAGTGAGTGAGTGATGCCTCAGCAGACGCGTAAGTGTTCGGAAGCAGCGAAAGGGAGGGTGTTGTGTGGATTTGAAACCCGCTTTGTTGCGTCAGGAAGGATAGGTTCCTTTTTTGTGGGAAGAGAGGGATGGGTCGTCTTTTCTTACTGCAGAAGGATAGGCTGCTCTTTGTTGTATCCGGAGAGAGAGAGAGGGCATTCTTTGTGTGGGTGCTTTATTTAGCTAAATGATGAGATTTATTATGGTGGAAATATTTCACAGCTTGCGAGATTAGTTTTTCTTTTGCCTGCAAGAAGTATTTAAAAAGGGCATAGAGAATTTCCTGTTAGGACCAACAGATGGCAATAAAAAGGGCATTGGTCGGTCGTTGGTTCGGGTAGCAGCAACCGTGGCTGAAGGTGACCCTGGGAGAGGCACGAACCTCACGGCATGACTCGGGCGAAGGCTCTGAACGTGCCCAGAGTGCGATGCTCACGGAGGGGTCGGATTTTTAACGACCACGGGACGACTCCCAAGACGACTGGGACCTGGACATTGGACCTGGATGTCTGCCTCGGGGCTCATCGATCTGTCTGGACTCCTGGAGGAATCACTGCAACAAAGACGCTACTTGTAAAGGAATCGTGTGTCCGTTGAGGGCTGCTCGGGACAATGGCTTTCCACCTTTATTCATTTCAATACCACCCCTCTCACACATTCTCTCTCTCTCTCTCTCTCTCTCTCTCTCTCTCTCTCTCTCTCTCTCTCTCTCTCTCTCTCTCTCTCTCTCTCTCTCTCTCTCTCTCTCTCTATGTTCTTCCCTTTCCCCCACCCCCGTTACCCATTCCCTTGGTTGAGAGGGAGCAAAATAAAAGACAGCAGAAGAGAAAAGAAGAGAGTAGGAGTGACAGGAGAGGAAAGGATGCGCTTCCCAAGCCCCTCTGCCGGAGACTAGTCATTACGTCATCGCGTATTAAGGATGTCCTGGAGGAAGAAGAGTTAAGAAGGAAAAGATGAATGGTAAAAGAGAGGAAGATCCGGCAAATGGAAGATAGATAGACAGACAGACAAGGAAGCAAAATAGGCAGATAGACATTTGGAAGAGACAGCACATCCGGCTGTTCACAATGGAGTCTGCTGTTGCATGGAGGACGCTGCGCCGGATGTGTGGAATGGTTGACAGATAACAGAGAGGCAAGAGAGAGAGAGAGAGACAAAAGTACGTTGTAAGGTTGTAGTTACTGCTGCGAGCGGGTAGTTGGGTTAACTTTGCATGTACTGACGGCAGACCGGTTTTACGGCATGCTGCTTTAGGGGGTCCTTACATCGTATTACTGCTTAATGGCGAAGAGGTTAATGGTATATGTTGCTGATGCGGGATCTTCCAAAGAATAAAAACGATATCTTGCATCCATCTCTCGATGAGTAAAGGGGGGGGGGCTCATTGGCACACCCATGATTAGGTTGGTGGATGGGCGTCGTCTAGAGCCTTAGGGTTAACGAGGTTATGTTCAGGTACCCTTGCATAGTGCGAGAATGACGTCATCTCTCGCCTGAACCCAAGTGAACACCTGTGAACATGGTGGCGGCGGGGAGGCAAGGAGAGGCGAACGCGGTTACATTTTCCTCTGCTGGTATTTTTCTTTATTAAACCTCATTTTCTTTTATTCTTTGTTTTAAGGGAAAATGTGAATAACAATTATTTTTGTTCTGCTTGGCTAATGAATGTCGCTTGCGCCTAGAATAATGCGAGGAAGAGGATTGGCCTGGCCTCGCTTCCCTGTTATGGCGTGAAGGGCCGTGTTATTTAATTTTTCACATTAACTGAAGAAACACGTTTTCCTGTTATTGGGACATTACATAAGAGTAGCTATGGGTCATTTATTTATTCGCGGCTGGATTATATTGTCATTTTGTGACCCTGAAACACTGCGTAGTTATTTTTACAATATGAAGCGTTAGATAAATGTTATAAAACATATTTTAGCCTCTAATACCTTGGACGAATATTTCTTAGCCGGAAATGTGAACCCTGGCACATTATAGTTCGACCCTTGTTGTTTAAAGGTGCACTAGAGTAAAACAAGGTTAATTTCCCCGTTTGTTGGCATCGGATTCCTTTGGCTTTGGGTTAAAGCAGATAGAGCACCATCTATGGATTTTCTTTCCCCATCTCTAGTGCACTCTTTTGGGGTCGACTTTCCTTACTGCGTTGTTTGCTCTCGCGTATCTTCGAATTACCTCGTGTCATGTAATGTAATTTAGTGTGAAGTCTGTGCATTCCTTTTAGTAAATTATGTAGGATGTAACTCTCATCCTCTCAGCTCTTGTTTTCTTCTCAGATTCCTCAATATATATTTTCTCCAACAGGTTAACGCAAAGTACAGCGAAGAGCAGGCCGCCGAGTGCTTGGACTGGATCGCCGAAATCACGGGCGCCGACATTAGCAAGTCTGGAGACGCCGACAATTTCTACGAGATCTTGAAGAACGGACAGCTGTTGTGCCAGTGAGTGTTTGGCGTTGGCACGTTCGCTTTAATAATACGATTGAGGGTAGAGGACGCTTGATTTGTGGTCGAACTTGTAGAATTCGGTTCTAAAGGCTTTTTTTTTACAGACCTTTCTTTAAATTGATATCTAGTGATGTATTTCTTTTAAGTTTTCTCCATCGTTATTATGAGTGATTATAGGGGGATCTCATTCATTTACTTTTTTCTCAACAGGGTGATTAACGCCCTCAAGCCCGGTCAGATCAAGAAGATCCAGACCTCCGCCATGGCATTCAAGTGCATGGAAAACATCAACGCCTTCGTGGAGGGAGCTAAGGCCTGCGGCGTGCCCACTCAGGAGACCTTCCAGACCGTCGACCTCTGGGAACGACAGAACCTTAACTCTGTTGTTATCTGCTTGCAGTCTCTGGGCAGGAAGGTATGTAGAATTACGTGCTGCCATTTGTAATTGTAGTTTGTATTTTGGCTGTCGTTTCTCAGAGGGAGAGTGCATGGTGGTGACACTTTGACACTTGTCCTAAGTACAATTCATTATTTGTAGAGATTTTTGTTGGATAATAAACATCTTATTCCCATTAAGGGCTTGACATCAGTATATGCAGTATTTAATTCATTATTAAGAGTATTTGTATGAATAATAAGTCTGTGTAGAAATTGTATTTGAGAGTTCAATGTTTTTTTTGTGTGTTTCAGGGATCTCAGTTTGGAAAGCCTTCCATTGGCCCAAAAGAGTCTGAGAAGAATGTCCGCCACTTCACCGAGGAGCAGCTCAGGGCTTCTGAGGGCATTGTCAACCTGCAGTATGGCTCCAACAAGGGTGCCACTCAGTCTGGCATGTCCTTTGGCAATACTCGCCACATGTAAAAGCACTCTTTGTAGACTTTCACTTTCACTTCATTTTTTAAAAAAAGTAGTTCAACATAATTCATCATGCTTCTAATATGTTCCAGTAAATGATAGCGGGGAGGATTTCTTTTATATATAAAAATAAAAACAGAAAAAAATGTATTGGCAGTGGTATGTCTAGAACAGGAATTTTTACAACTGCCGTGTCTTAGGCAAAGAAACGAACGTAAAAAAGAATGAAATCAGATATGTATCACTTGTCCAATAGGTTGCTACAATTTTTATTTCATTGCATAGGAACTGGTAATAATGAAGCTAAGTCTCAAGGCCAGAGAAAATGCTTAAAGTTCTCACTGAAACCAGGAAGAAATATTTTCATGCAAGCTGATGAGTAGCACCATTGGCTCATTTCCAAATTGACACATTTTCAATACACATCACATTTTTGTTTTACTGAAAACTAAAGGCGTAGATACAATATCAAAGAAAAATTATCCATCCAGGCTTTTTTCATATTTTACTAATTTGTAAGCTTATTATAGTACAATTTATACAGATATAAGTGTTATACATTATGCAGTATAAAATGTATTTAAATAATGTTATTCTATGAAAAAGAAATTCATATATATGAAAAGTATTCCTTATTTATCGTAGTTGCAGCTCACCTGTAGCAATATAGTGAAATGAATATTGTTTCATTTTTCTTTTTTTTTTATTGGAGTCATATTCTCTTTATTTTACTTTACCATTGTATGTGTGGTATGAAGTTTTATTTTCTTTTCCAAATAGAGAAATTATAGTCTTGTTTGAGCTGTCACATTCCAGTTTGAGAGAAATTTTGTATGGAAATGAAATAAAAAGTTCAAAACTGTTCAGGGATTTTTTATCCTTTTAGGACCCATGGATGAGTGATTATCTTATACAGTATATCCTCCTTTATTAGGACCCACTGGGGAGTCATACTGTAAACTAGAACTGGAAAAAGTTGTCATTTAAACCTTAACCTGATCAATAATGATTGCACATTATTAATTGATGGAAGTAAATGCTAATGAAAATGGTTGTATCTTGTATGCAAAACTTGTAAGATTTGTAAAAGTAAATGTCTATGAAATAACTTTAATTTTGTCAAGTAATCAAATTTACTATATATATCACCATGAAGATTTCTATTAACTAAGATTTGTTAGCCTAATGGTGAATAGTTGACAATTTTTTAATTTAGAAAGCAAGTGGGCTTTTTAAATGGTTTATTCCCTTCATTTTTCTCTGCATTTGAGAGTTTAGAAATTCTTTGTGCTCCTAACTTTCATTTTAGTTACCCAGATATTACATAATTGATTTGGTTACAATGTAACAATGTTCATGGTACTTTTAGATTCAGAATGAAGCAACAATATTTGATTTAAAAGCACTATTACAAAAACACTGTTCTGTAGTACTTAACCCATTCACGCTGGGTAAAAATAAACAGAAAATGGGGAAAATGCTGTGCTCATTTTTTACATTTTTTGTGAAATGTCTCTACACAAGATGGCTCTGCCTTACCTGATTTCACCTTTACTTGAATTGGCGGGAAAATGTATTTTTACTAGTGCTATCATAATTACTCTAATGTTACAAACATTAGAAACAGCAAAATAAGAGAACGTAAAATATTTTCGTAAATTAAAGAAAAGGGTAAACAGGCGAGATAGACAGTACAAGTACAAATTTAGCCATCTATACGTGAAAACAATTAAACAAGTAAACTCACAGTGGGCAATGCAGAGGACAGGAGAATCTAAAGCACTGTCACAGCAGGAACTCATCCCGTATCTCACATGTAAGAAACTAAGGATTTCTTCCACTGCAGTCACTCCATTGGCATGAAACTCCAATCTGCAATGGGCCTGGCAAATCTTGACTTCCTTGCAACAGAAATAAGCTAAGACATTTTAAGTCTTCTTGCACGCCTCTACGGAGGATTATTTCAAACAGCCTGGCAAATCCAGATGCTTCAGGTTTATGATTAATAGAATGCTAGAACGTTGCTTTACACAGAATCTGTGACTCAATTCCTACGAAGCAGCATATTACTTCCATTTTATGCTGAAAGACATTTTAAAAACTTTTTGTAACTTATAATATTTTCAGGGTTTCATTACCAGCAATTACCATGAGATATAAAAGGAAAAAAAGAGTGTTTTACAGTACTTCTTTATTTCTTTCCACTTTTAAGAAATATTTTAATTCACAGACTTTCACAATTTCTTATAGTGCTATAAAAAAAACAGCAGCTGCTTCTGCTTTCTGTTTGTATGTATATACTTTGATATGCATGAGTAAAACTGTATATATATAATATATAATCTCCACAAAAAATGGACTGGGAAAACTCATAAACTTATATTTATAAAAAAAAAAAATAGTTTACAAAAGTAGCTAATTAAAAAGCTTATGGCACATGGCATGTAACTAATAGTCACCTGCTGTACATATAAAAAGTATAAAACAAAATGCTAATAACCAATATGCTCAAACTATTTACAAAATTAAATAAACCTTATTTATGTGCACTGTAGAAGTAAACTTTTATAGACAATTTTAATTTTTTTCTATGTTAATCCTATACACATTATAAAAAAACATAGTCAAGCAGTAAGGCTATACAGGAAAATGCACTTGTTTTATTAACAAAGAATTAAAAAACAAAATTTATAGTTCTATACCAAAGATTTATAAAGAAAAAAACACAAAGACATTACATCAAAGACTTTTCTAGGAATAAAAACAAAGGAACTATCTGTTTTCCCCAGTGAATAAAGAAGAAAAATTCCTGGAGAATATATGGCACAGATATGGCAATCAAAATGTGAAATGTAAAACACAATTAAAACATTTTTTTTTTGCTTTCACTTGCTTCTACATAAATCTTAGTATTATAATATATTATCAAACTATTTGTTAAAGCCTATCTCTACAAATGAGATTGTCAATTAGAATACACATAACATTGGTGATTTCAAGCATTACCGAATACATATTCACACATACTGATACAAAAACATGGTAATTATGGCAACAAGTCATGAAATCTATGTGTTTACTTGCCCTTAAAAAATAATAGATTCTGAGTATTTCACAAACAATACTGCACTGGGTTTTTTCCCTGTCTGTCAAAACTTTGATACAAGTTATAATCAAAGAACCAGTGTTAATAAAAGAAAACCATGTTGCACTCAAAATGCTATAAATCAGCAATATTGAGTGATCGGCTCATAAAACCCTTCACAAGTCAGTATATCAAAAATCCAATGTTTTTATCATACTGGTAAGGCTATCACACATGCAACCACATTAGTCGTCCCACAGGCAGAGCTGACGTTGTGGTACAAAGTAGCTGAAATTACGGCACTTCCGACAGGTTCTGATCCCACAACGGTAGGACACAGCTTTACCGGAGTTGTCTCTTCCTTTGCAGTATTTCAGGCCACAGGGATACCAAGC